GAGCATCGGGGGCATAATTTGGACCAATCGCATCGCATAATCCGCCCTTTCATTTCGCATCGCACTGAGGTCCCTATTTAGTAACCCGTTACGCTTGTATCATATGACACTCTTTCAGGTCAAAAACATTCACACTAGTTTTTCTACTTTATCTTTTTTACTTTTCTAAGGGTCATGTCTACAACACAACCTTCAACTGCCGATCCAAAACGCCCTAATAATGTTGTTAAGTATCATATACCAAAGAAAGAATTAGATGAAATTGATCCCGATGTTTACGGAGTGGTATCAATTCTATTAAGTAGGTGTTTCTGCTGATTCCATGATAAAGAGCATGAATTTACTAATAACGCACATAAATTTATTCATAGGTACTGTTGGTCTTATTATGAAGGTAAAATGAAGAAGAGTTACGTTCATAAAAACATATATTCTATGTTAACTAAAATTGTAATTAAAAGATAAAATGGGCATCGTGGGTCGCTTTAACATTCGCATTAATTTCTTTAACAAATGAAAAAGCTTCTGACCGAGATCCTAATTCTGGGCGTACGTCATCTTATACTGGTGTTTTGTAAGTTTCTTTTTCCACTTTTTATTTATTTTTTTAATAATATTTATCGTTGATCATTTTTGATATATTCGAAATTTAGATTTTCTGCATCAGGACTAGTTGTTAATTATATGTATTTATTTATTGGAATTCCTAATCCTGCTGCTAACAAAGCTTGATCAGTAAAATATCAAATTTCATAATAATGTGATTATAGAGAATTTTTTAATAATCTTTTTTCTAAACAAAGTGTTCTTAAAGAGAGTAGGTGGGAACATTTTCTAAACATAGATATTTAAAAATGTAAAAGGTTAACGTTAAATTTTAATTTTAATAATAATTTACCACAAAAATATTTTTTGGTTTTCATAACTTGATCATATTAATTCTGCAAATTTTTGAAAAAAATTGGTTATCTTTTAGTAGTTTGTTAATGTAGTGTTAAATAGCTCAATTCAGATTTATCGTTATTGCGACCAATCAAATTGACTTAACCCGGAGGCGAAAAAAGGAGAAAAATGAGAAACGGTAGTCTAAACTCACCTCGGGGCATTAATGAAAATGGCCCTAACCCTAATTTTAATTAAGCCAACCCCGGCCACATAAAATCCAAATTAACTGTTAAAAAGACAATGATTCTCTTTTATTTTTCTTAGTATGTCTTGCAATATACTATGTCATAAGGAAACAAAGTACTCCACGTGGTCTTAAAAAACTTCCTTCGCCAGCTGGTGGCAAATTTTATTTTGGTATGTTTAAAGTTTATATATAAATATTTTGAATTTATGAGTTTGTTTTTCAATCTTATTTCATACAATAAAACACCTTTCTAGGACACTATTGGCAAGTTGGCTCTAAACCATGCAAAAAGTAATATAAATAAAATATTGTGATATTACACAAATAAATCTGAATTTTTTTTTAAAAAAAATAGATTTACTGAATGGGCGAAAATATTAGGTGATATATATATATAGTATACAAATGGGTCAACAATGTTGGATTATATTAACGGGAGATAAAGTAATTGGTGATCTCTTGCAAAAACGTATGCACGAGATATTGACAGATTAATGCAATAATAAATAAATAAAATTTTTTGACGATATTGTTATTGTTATTATTTTTTAATAGGCGGCGGCAAATACTCGTCTCGTCCACCAAGTTACTATCTTCATCAAGTCTTGACAAGGAATAAAGGATTTATTCGTGGTCCATATAACTGTAAGATACAAAAATGCTTTTACCCATTAGTGAGTAATTGATTATATTTAATTGTAATTTTTTTTAGTAAATGTTTAATATTACACAATATTATTATACTTATATAGTACTCGAAATTTTAAGTCAACGAGCTGTAAAGGAAAATTCTGATTTGATGGATCTACAATTCCGTATACTTATGCAAAACCTTTACCGAGCTTCAACGAATATAAAAGATAGTTTATATCCTAAGAATATTTTTCAATTAACGATTCTAAATATTATTACTATCATATGCTCATCAAAAAGTATAAAAGATATTGAAGACCCATTTTATAAAGAATTTGAAATTTTTGTGAAAGGTCGATTAGAAATTATCAAATCAACGAATAATTTATTCGAATTTTTTCCGATATTGAGATGGTTTCCGAACAATGAATTATACAGTAGAGTAATTGAAGAAAGAATGAAGATTGAGACTTTCTACAGGAAATTAATTGAAGAAGTTAAAAATGATGAAGAGAAACCCTGTTTTATTAAAAGTTTACTTCATAAAGTGGATGAAAAAATATTAGATGAACTAGACATTGTTTATCTTATAGATAATATTTTTTCAGCAGGAACTGTGAGTATTGCAAGGTTTTTTTCCACATTATTCTTATTAACTACGATGTTTCCTATTCTAATTTATTGGTAAATTTTAGGATACAGTTGCCTCAAGTTTGACATGGATCACAGCTGCTTTAGCCAATAATCCTCAAGTCCAATACAAAGCCCACCAAGAACTTGATCAAGTAATTGGTCATTCTCGTTTACCAAGTGCTTCTGATGAACAAAACATGCCTTATATACGTGCAATTATTAAAGAAAGTCAAAGATATTGTGGGCCTGTTTATGTCGGTGTGCCTCATTATATAGAAAAAGATGATGAATATAATTGATATCATATTCCGGAAAATTCAGTGGTTATTTTAAATCACTATGGAATTCATATGGACGAGAAAAGATATAAAAATTCTAAAGAGTTTATACCTGAAAGATTTTTGGGAATTAAAGAAAGTAGCGCAATTTTAGCAAATGGAAATTATCAAAATAGGGACCATTTCGGATTTGGAGCTGGTAGAAGACTATGTACTGGAATTCATATGGTATATATAATTTTAATTAGTATTAATTCAAATTATTATTTCAATATTTATGAATTTATCACTTTATATATAAAATGCATGCAGGCCGAATATGAGCTTTTTTTTGGCAGTTTCACGCCTTCTTTGGTGCTTCAAAATTGAAAACGCATCACCATTAGATAAAGATGGCAAACCAACACCGATTGATCTTAAAAAGGTACGTTTGGGTGTTATTGTATGGCCCGAAGAGTATCATGTTAAATTTATAAAAAGGCATGACAATGTTGAAAAAGTTTTATTTGGATAAGTAAGTTTGTCTTGTATCAAGTCGAGATGGATTGAGTCAAATTTAATTTTTTCAAAATAATGTGGAACCTTTACATCTTCTCTTTGAAAATAATATCAGATTTAAAGGTATAGTTAAATTGATATGTAGTACTATTAAAATAGTGTATAAAAATTTCAGCATAATGATCATCCGCGATAATATAAATCTTCTTTTTTTTTAGTAAAAGTTCGTTGCCACTTTACAAAAGCTTGTACTATGATTCAAACTTTTGTGTGTATGTTCTGCAAGGCCTTAGCTTCCAGATTCAAAAATTACATTTTTAAGATCCAAAACTTCTACTAGTGACAATACAAAAGGCAGACCGCGCAAAATATGGGTCATGTACAGTATGTAGCAAGGATGAAACCAAAGAAAAGTTTCGTAAATTAACGCCAGATCTTTTGTATAGAAACTTTAAACCAAATAAATATAAAAATATAGTTCAAAATTTACAAATTATTACCAAAACGACATCAGAGTTCCCAAAGATGAAAAAAGGTAGGTAAAATCTGCTAAAGGTCGTGGGTAATTGGGTGATGTAAGTTGTTACTGAAATAAAAAAGACATACCTAAGGATGAAAAGAAGACACTTAAATGGTATTTGAAATCATTGAAGATAGAAATTTCAATGGACAGTCTAATGTCGGAAATTGGTGATGAAAAGGTGTTCTAATAGTATTTGAAATAGGCATTATGTGTTTGAAATTGTTAACGAGGTGCTGCTAAAAATAAAAATAAAAAAAGCATTCGAATTGTGTTTTAAAATCAGCTGAAGGTGAAAATTCTAATGTAAAATTTAATCTTAGAATTTAATCTTGAGAAAATTGCTATCGAAATGCTTACTAATTGTGGCCAACATTAAAAAATTGACACAGATTTAATATAGGCCCGAGGTCGTATGGATTTACA